GGGGCAGCTCCGAGCTGGATGCGCGTGGCCGGGCTGAGGGTGCGTTCAGAGCACGTGGGCGCCGGGAACGGGAAGGACTGTGTCTGGGTGGCGTCCTCTGCGCGTGAGCGCTCCTGTGACGCGCGCGCACGTGTGTGTGTGTGTGTGTGTGCACCCTCGCCAGGCTGTCTAGTTGTACGCTGGCCAGCCATTCCTTCAGCCGTTCCTTCAGCCGTTCCTTCAGCCATTCCTTCGGCAGTCTATTAACTGAGCGCACGTACCTGCCAGACGCTGCAGATGAGTGGGGCTCACCCACCACCATGGCTGAAATGAGAATGACTGATGCACCGGGGGCAGGGGAAGAAGTGGAGTAACGGGAACCCTCGTACTTCGGGGGGAGTGTACATTGGTAGAGACACTTTGGAAAACGCAGTTTTCTGGTGGAGCCCCAAATACACCCCAACCCTAGGATCCAGCAATGCCACACCTACATCATCAGAAATGCGTCGGTATGAGCACCAAGAGAGGAGCGAGGGGTACTGGACTGTTCATAGCTCTATTGATCACAGCCTCGGACTGGAAACAACCCATCGAAGGAGAGTGGAAAAGGAGCTGAAGCCCATTCACACCTTGGACACAGGAGAATGAAGTCCCGTTACACCCAACAAAGGGAATGAGTCTCATGAAAGAAGTCAGACACAACGGCACAAACTGTCGGATTCCATTTCTGTGAAGTTCCAAACGGACAAAACTAACTTAGGGTGTGAGAAATCAGTATAGCGGGCACCCTTGGGCCTGGGAGGGGCTGGGCGGGGCTGGGAGGGGCTCTGGGAACTGGTCATGTTCTGTTTCTTAATCTGGTGCTGGTCCCCTGGGCATATTTACTCTGTAAAAATTCATGGATGTTTGGACTTTAAATAAAGGAAAATTTTATTTAAAAGGAGCATGTCTTGGTTGATTTGAGGCTGATTGCCAGATATGACGGCTAAATGTGTGTTGTGTGTGTGTGTGTGTATTTCAAAGGTGTGGCTATTGGGTCTGTTTGTCTTGGTGAGACTAGGTCCACAGAGGTTAAGGTACAGGAAGATGGTTATGGCAGCATTTGGGGAACCAAATTGCTGGGGTAAAATCCCAGCTCTGGTTGCCCAGTCACCCTGGATAAGTCACTTGTTTCTAATTCCTCAACTATAACACGAGGGTAAGTTCATAAGTGTAGAGCTCTTAGAACAGTGCCTTGCACATTGTAAATACTCAATAAATATTCACCGTTAGTAAGTGTGAGAGCCCAGCTGGAGTGGCTCTGTGGCTGAGCATTGACCCAGGAATCAAGCGGTCATCAGTTAGATTCTGGGTCAGGGCACAAGCCTGGGTTTCGAACTTGATCCCCAGTGGGGGCCTGCAGGAGGCAGCCGATCGATGATGTTTCTCACTCTCTCATCGATGTTTCTATCTCTAGCTCTCTCCCTTCCTCTCTCTCTAAAAATCAATAAAAAACATATTTTTAAAAATGAGTATGTGATTGTGGACCCTGTGAACAATCTGGTTCCATCATACCTGCTGTGCCCTCTGCCAGCAATCCCTTTCTGTCTTTATTCTGGCATCATCCTCACAGACACAGCCTCTTCCCGGCCCCTTCAGTCACTACCTGCTGTTACCTCTGGTTTCCTCCATCAGACTGTGAACTCCCCAGGGAACCAGAAAGCAAGTTGGGTCATCTCCGGGTCCCAGAGCCTAGGACAGACTGGGCTTTTGTCTGCACCAGGTTAGTGGAGTTGACATGTGGGTAAGACCCCCCCCCCACACACACACCTGTCTCTGACGCTTGTTCCTGAGTGAGAATGAACGTCTATATGCAGTCAAAGCAGGTGTGTGAGCCTGGGAAGGTGAGTTGAGCTGGTGCACCTGTCCCTCTCCTAGGAGGTGCAACGGGAACAGAGGACATACAGTATCTAAGAAAGGAGGTGTGTGTCTGGTCAGGTGTTACCTAAGCCTCAGAACCCCCCTCCCCCTCCTTCCCAGCCGAGAGAGAGCGCCGCACATTCCTGTCCTGCCGGCCCCACCCTCTCCAACAACCCCAGTTTTCTCCGAAAGGCAGCCCGGCGCCAAGCCTTGTCCCAGAGCGGAGCCTGAGCCTCCTCTCCTCCTCCTGGCCTGAGGCAGGGCTGCCTCCAGCCCTGGTCCCCGTCCTCCCCGGGGTCGAGGTCCCAAACCCACCAGGCACACAACCTGCCTCCCCCTCAGGCCCCTGCTCAACCCGCCGAGCAGGCAGTGAACTGGACTCCGGGACAAGGAATCTCGCCTGGGGCGGGAAGGGGGGGAATTGTTTGGGGTTTGAGCCCTGATTGGCTGCGCCCGGGTCCGCCCCTACCCTTTCCCCCTTCTCCCCGTCCTGGAAGGGGGGCGTGGAGGCCACGGGATCAGCCTGGGGCCAGCATGAGCCGGAGGGAGGGGAGTCTGGGTAAGGGGCTGAATGTGACTGTCGAGTGCCCAAGGGGAGCAGAGGTCTGAAGGGCTGGAAGCTGGGGTCTGGGTCCCCGCTGCCTTCGGGTCGGGGAAGGGAGCGGCCGGAGAGGGGAGAGCGGGGCCGGGTGTCAGGTAACAGGCGGTGAGCTGTGGGTGAGCTGTGGGACGGTGCTGGCGCCGGAGTTCGAGGAGGCGGGGGCTGTGCCTTCAGGGACTTGGGCTCAGGGTGAGATGGCCGGTTCGAGTCCACCCTGGGGGAGGACTGGGGTCGTGGCCGAGGCTGGACGCCTGGGTCCTCTTTGAATATTGGCAAAGAATCAAAGCTGGGGCCAGAGGGAGTGATAGGGTTAGGAGGGGAAGTCTTTGGGCCACAGTAGATAGTGAATGACAACTAGAGACGAGAGTCAAGGCTGATAAAGATAGGAATAGGCGGTGGGAAACTCAGGCGGGGTGGGGGTGGGGATGCGGCGCCAGAGTTGAGAAGCCGGTACTACATTCCCCAGCATGCCCCGGGCGCGTGCGCGGGGCCTCTCGGGAAATGTAGTCCTTCCCGGGCACCGCCTTTCAGCTTGTGTTAAGAAGACTGGTCGCTGATTCAATTAACGCTGTCTGGTGCCCAGCCCAGCGCCTTGCGTAAAAAGGCTATGAGGGAGGGAATGGGATTTAAGTCTCCCAATCTGTAAAATGGGCTGAAAGGCGCATTCCGGTTTGAAGTTCTGTGTTTCAGTGATGTTGAATTCCACCAACAATTACAGAGGTACAGAGGTATGTGAGCCCTACCCTCAAATGGCTCCCAGGATGAGTCCAGTTCACACACATAAAAGAGCCATTAAAAGAACTACTTGGAAGTATGAACAAATGGCCTGAAGAAGAAGAAAGAAGTTAATTTAAGGGAGGAGTGAATCCAAGTGAATCAAATACTAAGGGGGCAGTATTTGAATTTGGCTTTAATAGTATTTCAACAGTAATTTGAGGACAGGGAACACATGTCACGCAGAAAAAACGTTTGGCAAATGTCTGGTATCTCATTTCCCCTCCGTTGGGATGGGACAGAGCCTGCCTGGCTTAAAAGTTGGAGAATTCAGAGCTGAGCTTCTGGGTTCGGGAAGAAAGGGCCAGCCCGAAGTGGTCAGGAGCAGGGCTTGGGGCTGCCCTCATTCCTCCCCGCTTTTCCCACCAGAAGACCCCCAGGCTGACTCCTCAGTCTCACCCCTTCCCCTCTTGGAGGCCAAGATCCATCAGACACGCAACCTTGCCCGCCTCCTCACCAAATACGCTGAGCAGCTCTTCCAGGAATATGTGAGTGGGGATGGGTGTGGGGGGGCCTGGGGATCAGGGAAATACAGATCATAGGGTTACTTGACTACCTGTTTTCTCAACCTCATTTCCCAGCTGCAGAAACTGGGGCTCCAGGAGAGATCAGTAACTTGCCCCAGGCCACACAGCACTTGGAGGAGGGTCATCTCTGTTCCCCAAAGGCCCCTTCATCCACCTAAGCTTGGAGGCTCCCTTCTTGGTGCTTAAGACAGAGGCAACCTGAGAGTGTAGAGAACTCTGGTCTGGGAGTCAGGAAACCCAGGTTCCAGACTCTGTGTGGGTTTGTCACCTCGCTTCCATGGCCTTGGTCTCACCAGCTGTCAAAGGAGGCATTTGAACAAGATGAGATGTGAACTCTGACCTGTGCTATGCAGAGAGGCCAAGAAGGGGTTTCAATCCGAGTCAAAAATTCCATCCCCGGGGGACTTTTACAAAGGAGGGAGATCCGCCAATGTCTTTGGTTGGGTAGAGGGCCTGCCTAAGAAACGAAGATATTTCCCCAAATTACTATAGTGTAGTGGAGGGGGGTATGGTTTGGAAGCAGACAGACTGTGGGCCTGCCAATCTTACTGTGACCTTGGGCAGGAATGATAACATTACAATAATGATGTAACAATTATGACAGTCGGTAGTGGGATAATAGAATCAGCTTTGTAGTCCTACCAACTTTGGTTCCGATCCCAGTTCTGCCCCTTCCTGGATGGAGGACCCAGGTCAAGTCACTGGACTTCTTCAGCCTGGAGTCCTCATTTACAAAGTCATCATAATTCCATCACACCCGTTATTGGGAAAATTAGGAATAGTGTGCTTAAAGCAGCAAGCACAATGCCTGAACCAGAGGCAAGATGTTAGCGAAGGATAAATGGTATTGTATAGCAGTTTTACAAATTACAAATCACCTTTAGCTTTTATCTGTTCACTCATATGACAGTGATTCACGAAGCCCCTGCTGTGTGCCAGGAAGGTGCAGAGGTGGGAGGGTTGCAGGGTGGGGGTGGGGGGAGTGAAAAAGACTAGTTCCCGGACTATCTTTCCTGATTCTCTGGAGATCCCTGGTAGGAAGACAGAACAGAAGCTGTACCACCTCCTCCCCCCG